AACACAATATTTGGCAGATTTATTAGAAGGGGTTCTTTAAACTATGCCCCTGGATGCCCCACTATGGAGGTTTGACCAGTTATGTAATGCCTGTGTGCTTTCTAGAAAAACGCTTACTTTCTCCATGTTCAAATGTGTCCCTGAAAGGCGATGGGCCCTACTACCGCTTTTGACAAAATATTTTCTTTTAATTTTAAAAAAAATGTATGATCCCCGGACGGCTGCATAACTACGCACCTTAAAGTCCGCCTCAGACTTTAAACATGTCAGTGAATAAAGAATGAAATACATGGTTATCCATCATAGTAGGCCTATTATTAAATATTATACACAGCATGTTGAAATCGATTAAAATAATGTATACATTAAAGGTCTACTAATAATTCAGATATTTGGATGATAAACGCCTGCAACATCATCAATTGGACTTTAAAGGACGATCGGGTCATTTTATTCAGATTGGCCTTATCATGTTTCAGAGCAACATATTTTTTGGTATTAAAGTAACAATTTATTAAAAACAATCAATGAGTTTTGTTACTCAAACGTCTTTATATTGATATTTTCAAGCTTATTAGATGACCTGAAGAAAAAGTGATCCAGAAGTAGTAGGCTTGCTGTACAATATACAGTACAGTCAGGAAATATCGCTTCGTATCTGCGCGTAACCACTCGTAGCCTGCTCGTAGATACCGTTTGGAACGTAGCTACGAACCACTACGAAGGTCATTGTTATTTTAATTAGCTTTGCAATGATCGTAGGCTAGATCGTCGGGCTGATAATCAATGCGTAAACAATATTGAAATATAGTTTACCAGCTTTCAACACGTAAGCAATGTTGTAATTTACTAAATAAACAATGTTAGAACTTTATTGTTTTGTTATATCCTACCTTATTATTAAATCGATCATGTTTTAAAACTGTGTTTAGTTCGCTAGCTGGGTGGGTACCCTAGTGGGCATTAAGTATGTTCGAATTTCGATGTAATTTGGGCTTACGTACGGCCTACATTTTCCCCTATAGAGGAGGAGAGCAGACAGTAGTTATACTGGTAATCTTTCCAATTCGAAGAATTTTGATCTGATATTATTCTTCTGGTAGTAGGAATTTTCTTCTTTTAAATAATACTGATGACAAATCATGTACAATTATTACGATTTACAGATCACGTTGTTTATTGTTTACCGTAATTTGAAGCAGAACAACCTGCAAAGCGATCCAATACTAAATGGAAGTATAGAAATCACTACCTTGCCGAATTAAGGCTAGTCATGCTAGACCGCATTTACTCTGTTTTTTACTCACTGTTGCTCACAGCTTTTCAACATTTGCCACGAGGTTCACCTTTAACACACTTTACTGTGTTCTGATTGGCGCGCACTCTGACGTCTTATGCTGGCTAAGTTTTATTTTCCATTGGGTTTTCCATGTGACATTCGGTAATGTTACAACCAACGGACGTTAATTCTCCTTTATATTTATTATTTATCTTACTAAATCAAGACTACAAAATATTATTTGATAAACAATCTTTTCACATGTGTGTATTGTCATTGAGGACATCGTTTTTTTGACATAATGAGGTAAAATAATTGTAAATGAAAAATAAGCTAGGCCTAGGCTAATTAATTAAAAAAAATAATACAGCAGTACAAACAAGTTCCTGTCGTGGACAGCGAGTGGAAGAGGAGACTCCCATGAAGTCACTTTAAATTAACGGTCTAAACT